CCCACCATGTCTCATTCGCATGTCTCTGCGGCTTTCGGCTGCGCCCCCCACCATGTCCGCCGAGATTGCACCGATCGCAGTCCCCCGTTGCAGCGACGGGCGCCTCGCCCCAGCGACCGCCAGCCGTCGATGGGCGAGCGGACTCCGAGCAGACAGCCCTGCTCCTGAGGGCCGTCCATCCCTCCTCCTCCTTCTTTCCCCCGCCTTTTCATTCATTCGCAATGTCTCTGCGGCTTTCGGTTGCGCGCCCCCCCCCCCCCCCCCCCCCCCTGCGAAGATTGCCTCGGCCGCAGATGTGCGTTCGCCCTGTGGCCGGCCCAGGGAGCTTCGGGCCCTCGTTGCCGATTCAGCTCTTGTTCTGCTACAAGGACGCCACGCCCGCGGTCAGAAGTTCCGCGCGTGGAGGCCCAGGGTATCATTATGTGTGTCCTGCGGCTTTTGGCTGCGCCCCCCTCCTCTCATTCACAAGTCTCTGCGGCTTTTGGGTGCGCCCCCCCCCCCCCCCCGATTAACTGCGTAGACACATGGTGATTAGCTTCGTCAGTGAGCGGCCCTGCATCGAGTGGCACAGCCTTCCGCGGTCCATGTTCGTTTCGCTCTTCTCGACGCAGCCGCAGCCCCAGCCCTCGCCGGGACATTGCATCGTTGTGCCCCCGAACTGCGTGTGTCGGATACGATGTATGTGGGCCGGCTACCAGCTGGCGGTTGTCAGCCTCGCGCAAGCATTCCAGTGGTCTCCTATGGGACGGTGCCCCGACACCCCTCATTGACACCAGTGCTCAGCGGTCTTTGGCTTCGCCCCCCTCCTGTCTGTGGCCCGCCCTGGTCCGTCGCCGACCCGGCCATGGTTCCGTCTTGGCCCGCTGTCAGCACGCCGCCTGCGAGCGGCGCGGCCCAGCAGCTCGGTAGCCGCCAGCCATCGTCACGCCACCGGCGTTGGGGCATTCGGCTTCCGCACGGGCAGCGTGGCAGGTGTGGTTGGGTGCAGCTGTCAGCCATGCACTCGGTGACTCCCGGTGTTTGGTTTCGTCAAGTGAGCGGCCCTGCATCGAGTGGTTCAGCCTTCTGCAGTTCGTGGTCGCTCTCTTCAGAGCAGCCTCGGCTACCAGCCCTCGTCAGTACTTTGCATCGTTGTGCCCCCGAACTGCGTGAGTCGGAGACGATGTGCACGCGCTGGCTACTGGCTGGAAATGGCTCAGCCTCGTGAGCGCGCACCAGTGGTCTTTCTCTAATGGGTGGCGCTCTGACGTGGATCAGCCACACCTTTGCAAGTGAGCGGCCCTGCATTGAGTGGCTCAGCCCTCTGCAGTTCGTGGTCACCCTCTTGAGAGCAGCCCCGGCTACCAGCCCTCGTCAGTACTTTGCATCGTTGTGCCCCCGAACTGCGTGAGTCGGAGACGATGTGCTCGCACTGGCTACCGGCTGGAAATGGCTCAGCCTCGTGAACGCACACCAGTGGTCTTTCTCTACTGAATGGCGCTCCGACGCGGTTCTGCCACACTTTAGTTTCTGTGAGCCTTGATGAGTCAGGCGTCTTTCGCCGCACCTTCGTTCACCCGGGGTGCTGCAGTGAGTCTGAGTTAGTCGCTCGCGCTGGCACTCTCCGCTATCTCTTTTCTCCGTCTTGGCCCCGAGTCCGTATGTGGTTCGGCTGGAGCTTGGCGCCGTAAGGGCGACTTCTCCTTCCCGTTCCGCCGCCGGTCGCCGCGCCTCTGGCGCCCCCACCTGCTGGGATGTCTGTGCGGGTCATCTGCCGACGCCGCTGGCGTCTTAATGAAGACATGTGACGCGCCACTGCGGCCAATTATCTTCGTTCCGCGCCCCGTTCGTTGCCCCGCTTCTTGACCTTCGCCAGGGAGCCGCCAACCAAAAAGTATCCCGACCAGCCCATCCAGAAACAACGCCCGCGGAAATCCCTTCGATGAGGACTGAGGTTGAAGGATGGGAGGAAACTAAGGAGGAGCACGAGGATGAGCAGGATGAGAAAGGTGGCTCGGGGGAGGAGAAGGGAATATGGAGGAGGCGGAGGAGGTGGAGAAAGGGGATAAGAGGAGAAGGAGGACTGTGAGGAGGCCACCTCGGGTTATTAGGGGCCATTTTTAAAACAGTTTGGGCGTTGAAAGGCCTAGGACGTGGGGATCGGAGGGTGGGGTGTGAGGGGGGGGTTCTTGGGTTTTTTTTCTATGATCTTGAGCCCCATGGCTCCAAAAGAAAGGTGGCGTCACTTAGGTTCCAACTTGGGGCGCTGTTTGGCGCTCTGAGGCCTTCTTGGAGCCTTCTTGAACTCGTCTTGGGGCTCTCTTGGGGCCATTTTGGGGCCATCGTGAAAAAGGCGAAAACGCAAGAAGGCAACATCATCGAACAACCTATACGTTTTTGACGATTTTGTCACTTGGGGGTGGGTTCTTTGGGGTTCAGGGGGATATTGGAGCAATGTTGGGGCCGTCTCGCGGCATCTTGGAGGTATGCCAGATGCAATCTTGAGCCATCGTCGGCCATCTCGTGCCATCTTGGAGGCTTTCTTGGACTGTGCGTGGCTTTTTTTTTGCCGCCATCTGGGTCCATCTTGGGCACTCTAACCTCACGCGTGGGGGGTGTCCAGACCCAGGGGAGGGGGGGGGAGGTAAAAGAGGGGTTTCGGAAGAGGGACGAGAGGAGCCCGCTGCACCACCTGCGCCGAGAGAGCTGGCGGGCCTTGTTCCTCGGGGTCTGAGAGGATCTCGGCATGAGAACAGTGCGGCGGAGGAGGAGGAGAAGCGGGAGCAGGAGAAGGAGGAGGAGGATGACCAGCGTTGGTCGCATGATCGGTTCGTCCTTTGGCACATCCGCATCGACGAAGACGGCACGTCAGATCACGTTGGTCATTGCGGCCGTGCCCCAAAGCCCCCAAGGGAAAACGCTCCGCGTCGACGCTGGCGTCTTCCCGGTGCCCCTTCTGCAGCGCGGCGTGCTCGTGAAGAGAAGGGTGAGCATCCGGCGGTTCTGGCGTGCTGGCCGCTTCGAAAGGAAGCGACGCGCACGCCAGCACCTGCCCTGGCAGTGGATCCCCAGCGCAGTGACTTTTCCTTTGGACGAGCCGAGATGGGCGGCAGGCGCGGTCGCCTACGCCCGGCGCGGAGCCCCCTCCGTTGGACGCCCCGGGCCGACCGCGCGATGCGGCCCGCAGACGGCCCTCGGGCATCTTCTTCGGGCAGCTGCCACCTTTTTCCTCTTGAAGGGCAGCGGATTCCTCCTTCTCCTCTGCCTCTTTGCCGTGGGAAAAAATCTTGTTCGGGAGCTGCGCCATGCGGTTCCGCCCCTCCTCCTCTCCGCGCTCCTCCGGCTCCTGCGCGGGCGAGGTGCGCGGCGGCCTCCTCCCCGCAGCCGCCCCACTGCGAGCGGCAGCTGCCGTGTGGCCGCCGTCGCCCGTCGCCGGTCGCGTCTGGCTGCCTGTCTGTCGCGTCTGCCTGGGCCCGTCGTGCCCCTGCGCGGGCGCGCGCGAGGCCAGCCTGGAGCCTGGAGCTCCTGCGCTCCTCCGCCTCTCGCGCTCCATCTCCCCCTGCAGGGCCACGTGCCGCATCGACGCTCGCGGCCGTCTCGGCTCAGGGCGAGCGCCCCCGCGTGCCGCGGCGAAGGCAGGGCGGGCTCTCGCCGCAGGCCTCGCCACGCGGGGAGGGTTTTGCGAGGCAGCGCCCGCCGAGCGAGCAGCGGCTTCCCAGAGGGCAGTGGTCCCAGGGCACGGTCTGCTCGGGTGAGGTCAGGGGGATGCGGGGGGGAAGGCCTGAGGAGTTGGAGGAGGAGGAGGAGGAGGAGGAGGAGGAGGAAGTGGAGGAGGAGGGGGAGGAGAGAGAGGGGTGGGGGTGGAGGGTGGGGGGGGGAGGGGCAGGAGGAGGACGAGGAGGAGGGTGGAAGGTGGAGTGGGGCTAAGGGGAGGAGAGGGAGGGATGGGCGAGAGAGGAAGATGGTGAGGGGGAGGGAATACAAGGAGGGATCAATGAGCAGGGAGGATGGGGGATGATGGGGTGGAAGAGGGGTCTTCTGGAGGAGGAGGATTCAGATGAGCAGTATCATCCGGAGAAGGAGGCGGGGGAGGAAGAGGAGCAGGAGGAGAAGAAGAACTCGGAGGAGAAGGAGAAGGATGAGCAGGAGGAGGAGGAGGAGGAGGAGTCGGAGAAAATGAAATCGCAGGAGATGGAGGAGGAACAACAGGAGGAGGAGGAGGAGGAGGAGGAGGACGGGATGTGGCAGGAGGAGAGTAAGAAAAGGATTATGAGAGGACTATGGGAAGGACGGATCAGCAGAAGGAGGAGGAGGAGTAAGAAAATAGGACGGCGGACGCTGAAGGTGAGGATGAGGAGGAGCAGGAGGACGTCGCTGACATGCAATGTGTTGGACTGCCCGCTCGTGGTTTACAGCCGATGCCAAGTGCCAATGCCTTCCTTCGCAGGAATATTTACAGACATACACATGCATATATACATATATATATATACACAGCACGCAAACGACCTGGAAACACCTGAAGCCATCTGCACATTATTATGTTTTAGCCATTCCAGGGGGGTGACTTGGATTATGAGGGCTCGGCTTTCATCGACTTCAAACTGGTGAGCTCATGGCCTGATGTGCCCCATTGTGGGCAGGCTAGGAAGAATGTAGATATGAGCAGAGCCAGACATGAATAGGGATAACAAAGGGGGTATGCGCCAACAAAGGGGGTATGCGCCCAGAACTGGGGACTGCAGATATAAAGTCTTATGCGTGGCACGGGCTTTAGCTCTACAAGGTTTCAGTATCCATGGAAGTGTGGCGACCCTGATTTGACGGACCCGGGACCAGTTGAGCTAGGCACGAGTGTCGGTTGGTGGCCATGTCGTTTCGGCCGATCTGTCTCGGAGATCCCAGAACTGGTCGATTTCCACGCTCCTTCCTCTCGGATGTCGTCGCGCCTTTAAGAACCCCTAGGCCTTCGAGTCAGGACCAGTGCACTTGGGACCATTGATTTCTAGCCCAGAAGAGCCATGTCGGGCCGCAACACCCGTATGGCCCAATGGTTGGATTACCGAGTGCGCGTCACGATCTCAGATCAGCGAATGCTGGTTGGCACTTTTATGGCTTTCGACAAGTACATGAACGTTGTCCTCGCCGACTGCGAGGAGTTCCGCAAGATCAAGTCCAAGGGGCGTAAGGACGACGAGAAGGAGGTGAAGCGCACCCTCGGCTTCGTCGTGCTGCGCGGCGAAACCATCGTCTCCCTGATGGCGGAGGCACCGCCGCCGTCGGGGCCTGCAGTGCCCCGCTGATCCTGCGATCTCCGATCGGCATCGCTCTGCAGGCCAGCTACAACTGCGGGAGCTGTGGTCCTTACCCCCCTGGGGGACCCATCGATTTCGACACCCCTCTCGAGAGATCGTCGATGCGATGGGTTCCCCCAGGGGGGTAAGGACCACAGCTCCCCCAGTTATGGCTGGTCGGCTCTGGCCCTGGATCGCCCTCCTTCTCTTCCGTGCGCGGGGCTCCCAGACGAGCCCGGGCTCCGGCACCCTGCCAGTAGTGGACCTCGTGCCAGGGACCGTGGCCTCGCGCAGGTCCGAGGGGGGCCGGCTCGGGCCCTGGGACTTGGCGTCGCTCGGACGTGTGCATTTTTCCTTCGGCGAGGGCCATCTAGGAACATGCTTGATCATTTGGCGAACAAAACCACTTACGAAACCGAAAAAACACACAGAGAATTTGGACGTCCGAGCGATGGCCAGGGGATGCACCGGCTCAGAAGCGAGGAGACGCAGACGTGGACGAAGGCGCGTGGACGGCGACGGCCCCGCTCATGTGCAGAATCGATTCGCTCCGTCTCCAAGACAGGTGCTCCTGGCCTCATGCCTCGGGGCGTACCTGCCCCCGACCCGTGGACCTGGCGCCCACGCGCCAGATTCACGGATCCGTGCACGTTGTTCACTTCTAACTCTTTGAGAGTTCTTGATTTTTTTGGGGGGGGCCAAGATCCTTTCATTTCTAATTATTCTATCCTGGGCCTCTTCCTGGCCACCAGGGGGCCAGGAACAATTAGAAACGAGCACGATTAGAAATGAGCACGATTGGAAATTAACGACGTGTAATCGCTGCTAGCATGTGCCCGACAAAAGCCCAGAAGTGTCCCTGGTCCGAGGTGCCCCCAGGATTCCCAAGAAGGCCCCCCGCTGTCTCCAGGGCGCCCCTCGCCAGGACCGGAGGGGCCCAGGGGCTGCCAACGGGCGCGAAAAGTTGGGGACACCTTGAGCCATGGACACCTTAAACAGCCTCCCGAAAAGCCCAACGCGGCCAATCCGACGCCTCAACACACGGTGGCAGGTCCGCTCGCGTGGCGCTCCTGGCTTGCTGGCGATCGTCTCGCTTGCGCTACTGTTTCAGTCACGCCGTGGTCAGTCGTGAGGTCCCGTGGTCGCGCGCTCCTCCCCCCCCCCCTTCCTGGACACCGAAAGGACTCCTCGGCACGCGGGCTCGCCCGCCGCCGCTGCTTGCCAGGGCGCCGCCAGCGACGAGGCCTGGGCCCGACGGCCGCCGTGTGGCTCGAGGGGCGGCGGCGGCGGCGGCCGCGGACCGCCTGCACGGGGCCCTGCTCGGCAGGGCCCCGCTCAGAGTTGACCATCAGGAGGAAGAGAAGCACACAGACACAATGGATCGTCGATTCCCCAGAAAATGTGGGAACATATGGGCAGTGGGGGGGAAGACAGAAAATCCCTAAACATATGGGAAACTATGGGGAATCTTTTTATTCGTGTGTATTCATTTGTGTCCTGGAGCCCCTTTATACCAGACGACCCCCACCCAACCCGAAGGTCCCCCACCCGCCGAATTTCGGGTGGGGCGGCGTACGGGTTCCATCGCTCTTGCTCGTAGCGAACTAGAAAGTATGGACGATCCCCAAGGGTGACTCCGGGTTGGGTTGCGGAGGCTTGGCAGGTACGTCTTCACCAGCAGACGCCGTCGGGCGGGGCTAGGACAGGGATAACATTGTTCCAGAGAATTAGGGGACGCTCTCAGAGCGGCGGCCGATGCATCCTCCAGAACCGCTGGACCTCAGAAATTCCCGATGTACCCCTGTCCTATGTTGCCCCTGTCGTGGATTCGCATTGCATTGGCATCGTGAGAGGGCCACTGGTGCACCTGGCCATTTTCGCAATGCCACACTCAAAGGCTCAGGGGGGATGTATCGACCCCCGCTGGCCCGTTGATCGGCGATATGGCCCGATAGCCTGGCCCGCCAGGGAACGTGCGGGTTTGCTAGCGGGGGCGTGTCGCCGATCCGTCGGCGATGTCTCGCCGATTCCAGGTCGGTCTTCCCCCCCGAGCCCCCCCCCCGAGCGTTCCCCCTCACACCCCGAGATCTGGTCGGCGCAAGTAACCTCACAACAGGCATGTTGACCAGGCTTCGGGCCGCCCGGGCCTTCACGGATCGATCCAGCCTGGAAAGTGCCGTAGACGGATAGGATCGAGGGTTTCGTTCCGATGTTGTTGTGTCGCGGCGTCGGATTTCAGGGCACGACCTCGCCCGCTCAGCCCGTGAGGGGCCAGCGCGATAGCGCGATTGCCCGCGTGAGCGTTCTGTTCAGCTCCTCTCCGTTGCGCGGCTTGCTTGGTCCCAGAGATCTCGACCTCTTCCCTTCGGCCAGTTGTTCATCCCAGATCATTGTGGACCCAAGGTCCGTCAAGCATGTTGAATGGACATTATTTTCAAGCTCCAGACTCGCTATGGACAGCGGCGCATTGCAAGCATCCTATCTTCCATTGCCCTTGTCGGCATACAACGCATTTTCATGGTAGCGATCGTAGGCGGCTCGCACCCGCCCGGCGGCGCGCGATGAATGCGCAGTAAGGGGGGCAAGAGAAGTGCCACCGCAAACCGCGACCGTCGCGTGCGCGGGCAGCACCGCCGCTTGCAGGGCGGCGCACGGGGACTTCGGAGTGCGGCGGGTAGCTCCGCGCCCAGCCGGGGCCTGGAGGAGGAGGAGGAGGAGGAGGAGGAGGAGGAGGAGGAGGAGGAGGAGGAGGAGGAAGAGGAGGAGGAGGAGCAGGAGGAGGCGGAGGAGGAGGAGGAGGAGGACCGGCAGCGAAAGCGGGCAGTCCCGCTCCGCGCCTGGTGTTTCTCGAGGCACAGTCGAAGACTGCTGCCAGCCCCGCGCCTTCCTGTGAGCGAGCCGGGCACCGCGGCCTGGAAGGGCCTTGTGCGAGGCGCAGGGGGCGAGAGGAGGCTGAGGAGGCTGAGGGATTACTTGGGGTGGGGAAGAAGGGCTTCTTCGATGTGAAGATCGAGGAGATCTTTTGCCGCAGGAACGTGTCGCCAGGCGGCGTGCGTCCTCAGGTAGACGGAGGCGGCGCGCGAAATGCTTCGGAGGCGATGAGGCAGGCGGAGATGGTCAAGGCAGCCGGACAACACTGATTTTGGGTCGGATGGTGGCGTCGCTGGAAGACAGTTTTTTTGAGTATCCGCCCGCTCCTTCCGACGGGGCTGTCCCCTGACGCCGTCAGCGACTACTGGCAACCACCTTTACTGACTGGCGGTTGTCGCAAAATGGTGGAGAGCATTACCATGTTCGAACCTCCGTCTCGCATTATCCTCGAGGGAGCGATTGGACCCCGAGTCGCAGAACATCCCACAGCTGTCTTCACTCGCGGAACCGGGGGGAGGTGCTACCAACCCCTACCTTGGCCTTTTGGATGGACCCTCCAGCAGGCGTTACATCAGCCGAAGCTTTGGCATTGGATTTCCCAGAGGCGGCCCAGGACATCATACGCACGAAGATCAGCTCGTTCGATGCCGAGTGCACCCTTCACTGAAGCAGGCCGATTGCTAGCCTATCGAACGAGACCAGCGTCGAGTGATGGATGGCCACACGCCTGCAAGGAGAGGTGCCTTGGAAGCCGCCGGCTTCGACGACAGATTCCTGACGTACGTCATGGCGCAACTGGCGCGCGACAGTGCTGGCGGACCCTGCAGCTCTCTCTCGGGTACACGGCCCGAGGCCGCGTTGACAAACCCGACCTTTTATGACCAAATCGTCATGCTGACGCGTCTTGCTGACGCCGCGCCGAGGCCCCTTGATCACATCGAGCGAGAAATCTCCTTGGGCACTACTTTTGACATCCCAGGCCGAGCTCCGACAGGATGAGCAGATCCGCAAGCTGAGTTCTGGTCGCAGCGCGCGCGGGGGCAGGCCCTGGGTTATCCCTGGAGTGGCCTCCCCGGCCCGCGCGGCCAGTTTCCGAGGTGACTGGGCAGGCGTGGTCGGACCTACCAGGAATCACATTCACGAGCACATTCAAGGAGAGATTGGCGTGGACCCTGGCCCTTGGCTGGGACACCTCATTGACAGGATTGCGACGGGCATTGCCTCCCCACTTGCTCCTGCACCCATGGGCTCGGGGTCTCAGCGGGGAGCGTGGCGCCAGTGCCTCGCCCAGACGGCGGCTGGGACGGCGGAGCGACGACGACGATGACGACGATGAGCTGGCCGCCGCGCGCGATTTCGCGATCGCGTGGCCGTCCTGGCGGCCGTGCGGTCAGCGGCGACTGCCCATCGCTTCTGAGGATGGGGATGGGTCCAGACAGCATGGTGGCGACAACCGACAGCAATTCCTGCCCATTCTGAGCAAGACTTTCTGCTGGTGTTGCCGCGCACGTCGTTCGAGAAACAGCGAGCCACATAAACATCAACTTCGACGGTCCGCGCGGATTTTTGGGATCGGCGCTGGGCCCCTCCTGGCGCCGCCCCTGGCGCCGCCCCTGGCGCCGCCGATGGCGCGCTTCGTGCGCCGGGGAGCCAGAAACAGGGCCCAGCGCCGATGCAACAAATCCGCGCGGAGCTCCTTGCCTCGCTCCTCCACAGAAGCCGCCTGCCCAGCAGCGGCCGTAGGAGAATCTTGGGCAACGCCTGCTGCTGGTGCTGCTGGGCGCCCTCGCCGCCGCCGCCGCCGTTGTGGGGGGCGGGGAGCCGGCCCGCGGGGCGCCGCCGAGGTCGGGGCCCAAGAAGCCGGAGATCCAGCCGGGCCCGGGGCGCGGGCAGGCGGCCTCCGAGTGCGTGTGCCGTGTTTGCTTGCCCGCCCGCTCGCAGCCGTTCCCTCTCGCCCAGATCGCCTTTGCCGTCCTCGCCGCCCCTCGCGGGCCTGGCCCGTCTCCGACCTCTGTCCCGCCCCGGCTCCCGGCCTCCCGCTCCTGTGCCCTCGAGGTCTTCGGGCGTTCTCCCCGCTTCTCGGCGGTCTTCCAGCCTCGGGATGCTCTCCCGCAGCTGCGCCTCGCCGGGGGCGTTCCCAAGACTGCCTGGATCGTCCCGGGCGGCCGCCAGAGACCCGAGTTGTGACCCAGAAGCCATCCGTGCCCCCTCGCGCCATGCCTGTCCCCGTCCCCGCCGAGGCTACTCGGGTTTTGATGGATCCTTGCGCCTCCGAGTTTGCAGAGTCCGGCATTGGAGACGTGGCGCTTCAAGCCCGCACTGTCGCTCGTGCCTCCCTGGAGCTGCCCGGCATCTCGGGGGCCCCCTCCTGGCAGGTGGCTGGGCGCGGCATGCCGGCCGCCCCGCTGAGCTCCGCGCCCGCCGGCCTCGCTGGGCCTGTGCGCGGCGTCGGCGGGCCGGCCGCCATCCAGATGCAGCCCAAGGCCTGGCGCTCGCCGCCGCCGCCGTGCGCGTATTCGTGGGCCGCCGCCAACCAGAACCACCCCAACCCAACCCGAAGGCCCCGACTTGCCCTCCATTTCCAGTGGGGGAAGGGGGTCGGGGAGCATTGAGAAAAATATGAACTTAACTCCGTCCCCCCCCAACCCGAAATTCGGGTCTTCGGGTTGGGTTGGGGTGGTCTGGTATAGGCAGCCAGTGAGGAAGACGAGGAGCACGACGGCGACGAGCACGACGGCGACGAGGGCGAGGAGGACGACGACCGCGGCGCGCACGACGAGAAATGATGTTGACGGAGAGCGCGGCGGCGGCGGCGGCGAGGGCCGCCCAGAGGCAGCCGAAGGCCAGCCATCGTCAGCGTTGATCGCGGGTCGGGGGTCAGTGTTGTGGATGTCTGGGCCATTCTCGGGTCCCCTGAGGCTTCCAGAGGCTTCTTCACAGATCTCCAGAGGCCTCGGGGGATCCTGGAGGGGACCTCCAGAGCCTTCCTGAGGACGTCCGTCGTCTTCTTCGCCGTCGTCTTCTTCGACTCCGGAGGCCTCTCACAAAGCCTCCGTCGCCCGGGGACCTCCATGGGACTTCCAGGGACCTCCTGAGGACGTCGGTTGTCGTCGTCGTCGCTGCCGCCGTCGCTGCAATCGTCAAGGCTGTCGTCGCCGCCGTCGCCGTCGCCGTCGCCGTCGTCGTCGTCGTCAGCGTCGCCGTCGTGCTCGATCATCGAACTTCGATCCTGGAGCTGGGATCCTCGAGGATCAAGGTTCGAGGGTGTTGCGCGTGCTTATTTGTGCTTGTGGCCTCCATGGGCTTCTCGACTGGCCACGGCTGGCTTCTCATTCTACATTCTAGTCGACACGGATTTCAGGAGGGGTCCAGGGATCTATGTTTGAGGGGGTCGTCTTCGTTGGTGCCGCCGTCATCGTCGCCGTCGTCGTCGTCATCACCGTCGTCCTGGCAGTAGTCGTCATGCTCTTCCGGCTCGTTATCCTTCGCCGCCGCCGTCTTCGTATTCCTGATCATCGTCCTTGTTGTTGCTGGCGTTCTCGCTGTCGTCGCCGTGCTCTTCATCGCGTTCTTCATTCTTAGTCTGCTTGGCGTCGTCTCTCTTCGTCGTCGCCGCCGTCTTCGTCCGTTCGCCCCAGATGATGGAGGATGACGATTGATAAATGACCGGGGGTCGTGTTCACGCGGCGGCGCCCGGGATGACGATTAGAGGCTGGAAAACTTATTTTTTAAATCGTTCTCCTCCAGTCAGAAAATGGTGCAGAAACAGCAGGAAACTATGTTCTTAATCGTTCTTTCCCATTTTTGTTATTAATCGTCATCCCGCATTATCCTTCGTCCACGGAAACAGCCCCCGCGGCCTTTGATGAGGTCCCTGGGACCGTGAAGAAATCGACCCAGGATGACCAATTGGTCTCGGGGAGGGGCTCGAGAGCCTGGGGTGCCCCGTGCCTCGACGCAAATATCACCACCTCGGAGGTCCGAGGACGGCGTCGGCGTCGTCTTCCTCGTTCCCCTCGGGCTGGCAGGTGATGTCTGGGTCCTCCTCCCTTTTCCGGGCAGCAGGCGCGGAAGGAGCGGGAGGAGGAGGAGGGGAGGAGAAGGAGGGGGAGGAGAGCAGAGAAGGAGGGCGAGGAGGCGGAGGAGGAGGGGGGGAGGAAGCAAGAGGAGGAGGATGAGAAGGCGGAGGAGGAGGAGGAGGAGGAGGGGGAGGAACAAGAGGAGGAGGAGGAGGAGGAGGAGGAGGAGGAGGAGGAGGAGGAGGACGAGCAGGAGGAGGAGGAGGAGCAGGAGCAGGAGCAGGAGGAGCAGGAGGAGCAGGAGGGGGAGCAAGACCACGACGCCGACGACGACGACGACGAAGGCGAAGAGCACAACGGCGACGAGGCAGCAGGCGTGTAGGATGCCCTGGCCGGCGGTCTGCAAGGCGGGCGCGCTGCCGGCGCCGGGGGGCGCCGCGCTGCCGCCCGGCTTCCCCGTGCGCCCGCCGGGGACCCGCCGCAGTCGCCGCCGTGCCCGTCGTCTGCCTCGTTGCCGTGCTCCGCCTCTTTCCGATTCCTCCGCCTCTTTTCGGGGGCGGAAAAGAGGGGGGGGTGATGACCAGGGGGGGGTGGATGTCATGGCGGGGGTCATGATATTTCCCCAGATTTCATGGCGCCTCTTCTTATTTAATTGCGTCCCTGGCCCCCCCGCTGGGCCGCGCACATGCCGCCGGTCATGATTTGCACCCCCCCCTCTTGGACACCCCCCTCTTGGCCGCTGCCGATCTTTCGTTCAAGCAGTGGCGAAGCGTCCTGGCTCGCCGGTGGTCCTACCAAACACTGTGGTCCTAAGAACCTTTCGTGGTTTCCACGAGATCTTCTTGGAGCATTCCTGGCCGGGACCGTCTTGTTTTAGCACGTCGGGTCTGTGTTCTAAGAGCATTGTTTTTGTTTTTCGAACATTTTCGGGTTCTAAGACAATTTCGTGGTAGGCCTATAGGAATGCCGGGACGGTCGGTCCCTGCTCAATTTCCGATGGTTCCTCCTCTTTCGTATTCCTCTTCATCCCTCTCCTCCTGTTTCTTCCTGTCGCCTTTCTGTGCTTGCTTCTCCGCTATCTCGTCCTCCTCATTTCCTGCTCATCTTCCATCGGCCTCTTCACATGTTTCGTTCCCGCTGATCTCTTAACCATCCCCTTGTTTACAACACTCTTCGTCAATATGTCGGTATCTCTTCATTTCGTCGCACTTGGGGCCGTCCTGTGGCCATCGTTGGGTCCTTTGAAGGTGTGTCGGAAGCTGGGGTGAACCGTCTTCAGCTATGTTGGGCCTTTCTGGGGGTCATCTTGGAGCATCGGGGGCTCTTGTGAGGCCTCCTTAGGCGAAACAAAAACATTGGACACCTCCGCCCCCGTCCCATCTGGATCCTTGGTAGGGGGTAAAAAGAGAGGGGTCAACCCCTCCCCGATGAAAAGAACGGCGTTGTTGACAAGGAACGAATGAATTAGTTCGATCATCGTGGGATTCGTCCCATTGCTTCGCCACCCTTTTCGCATTAATCCGCTTCGTGCTCCTTCAGTTTCCCGTTCTTCCCTTCCCGTTTCCTTTGTATTATTGTTGTTGTCGCTTCCTTCTTTTTGTTATTCCTCTCTCTCTCTCTTTTTCTCTCTGTCTCTCTGTTGCCTCCCCTCATTCCCTTCTCTTCCCCTTTTCTCCTTGTCAATAGGTCGTCCTCAGTGCATCACTGGACAAGTTGTTCACATGGGCTCGCCGAGTCGCTGGAAACTCTCCATTGCCCATGGCCATGCAGCTTGAGCACCTCAAAACTAAAAAAGAAGCGAGCAGGGGGGGCGGCTCGTTTTCAGAAATGGTGCCCCCGTTTTCGCCGCGAGAGCCCGTCCTACAGGCTCCCAGCAGCCACAGCAATGGAGGGTGCCTGGCGTTCGAGCTGCGGCCATTGCCCCCGCGCCGCGCGCAGTCGATTCTCATACTCCAGGCACAGATGTGCGGCAGCTCCTTCCAAAACAAAAGTATGTTGCCCTCGCCCCAGCGCCGCGCACACCCGTCTTACAATGTTCAGGAGGGGAAGAAACACACAGACACAATTAATCGTCGATTCCCCGGAAACTATGGGAAAATATGGGAAGTGGGGGGGAAGACAGAAACACCGAAAAGATGGGAAACTATGGGGGATCTGGTTATTTGTGTTTATTTATTTGTGTGTCCCAGTTCCCCTTCAAATGTTCCAGCAGTCCGGAATGTTCTGGGCGGTCGGTCGCGTTGCCGTTTCGCACCTCCTCGGCTCGCAATGCCAGGTTTGTCTCATGTGCAACATTTGCAATGATGGAGGGCGGTGCCTTTCCAACGGGGACTGTTCGCTTGAGACTCCGTTTGCCGAGGCCACCGTCTGCGATTTGCAGACAGCTGCACTTCTGGAGGCCGTTTCCTTTTCCAAGCGGCGCCTCGCTGGAGGGATGCAGGGCAGGCTTTGCTTGAGATTCGGATCTCGCCTGGGAGGTCTTCAGTTTCCGAGATGCGACCACGAAGCTGTTGCAGCACATCTGTTGGACTACACGCATTGAGGGTGGCTCCTTTTCCAACTCCTGTTATGTCGGCACGCTCCTTTGAACTTCATGGTGTTACCCGCTGTACGCCTTACTGCCAGACGTCTGCAGGGAACTCTCTTTTCACAAAGATGCTCTCGCTTGAATGCCAAGCCCACGGGACGCTGGTCTTCCAAGGGAGCGCTTCCTGTATTGAAAAGTCTGACTGACATACCTTGCGAGGACGGGTCTCGTGTCCAGAGGGTGACTTGCAGCTAGTTGGTGCGCTCTGGGATAGTTTGAGATTCCCTTCTCCTGCTTCTTCCCCCACCGA